CCCGCACACCGCCAAGTCCTTTAAATTCGGAAGGTACAGCAGGATGGCCTCCAAGCCGCCACCTCCGTGGGTAGCACAGTGCCACTCGATAAACCCCCTGGGGCCCTGCGGGCAGGAGTGAAGAACTGGGGTGCAAAGGACTGGGGGGCGGGTCTCACAGGCGCCCTTCATCTGAGGGGGGAGGCCTGGCCTCCTGCTCCGGCTGTGCCAGTGGAAAAAGCTACGTAAGTGCCAAGTCGCAGGAGAGCGAGTCACGGTCCAGGGCTTTACAGTCTGTTTCCTGAGCTGTTCCCAGCACACCCGCAGCAGCCCGGGGCCAGCAGATGTGCGGCGCGGCCTGCGGCCCGGCTCTGCAGCGCAGGCGCAGCCCTACGGCCAGGGCTCGGGACGGGGTAGAGCGTCCTGGGGGGAAGCCGCCTCCCCTTTCAAGGCAGCTGGGGTAGTCCTGTGCGGGGTTTGGGAGCAGCTTTAAACCGAGACCCCCATCTGTCCTCCTCCTGGTGCTGTAAGCAGGGCCGACTCCGCCTGTGTCCTGGGGCTGTGGGAGCAGCGGTGCCAGGGGCCCGGAGGAGCAGCAGAGAGCCTCGCAGTGGAGGTCTGCCGGGGTCCTTTGTCCTGGAGAGACGTGGACTGAGGGAAAGCAAGGACTGGGCATGGAGCAGGGAGCAGAAAAGTCACCAGGAACACTGACCAGCATAGACGGGGCGTCCCAGGGGCTGGGGGCAGGAATTCCGCATCTCCCAGAGATAGAAATCCTTGAAGGTGCTTTCTGATGAGCCCCCACTGCCATCTCCCTCCCTCCGGTATTGGCTTCCTTTCCTTTCCCGTTAATCTGCTTATTTCTGATGCCATCTCAGACCTGGGGGGGGGGGTCCCAGGGGGGCACTGAGAACAGGCTCTGCGGCCTACTCCCACTGGTACTCAGTCCCTTCTTCATGCATCTGGAACTGTGTGTCCCCCTTCACCCAGCTCCTGTTGAACTTTGGTTTCATAAAGAAAAGCAAAAGAAGAAAGACAGGTTTCCTAAAAGAAGCACACTGAAGCCATCCTTTCCTGGTCCAACATAGCAGCTGAGACTGGAGCTGGAGAGAGAGAAAAGTAGGTGCAGGGGGCAGTAGGGGGAGAGGAAGGAGAGGAACAAGTGTGGGATGAAGATGATGCTGAGGAAACCAACATCAGGCCAGTGAGTAGAGCTGGGAAAGGTCAGGGTAACTGGAGGGTCTCATTGTCTTTCCTTCTTTCTCCCCTTCTTTCTCTCCCCCTTCCTGGGAGGGTTCTGCTCCCCTTGTCTGAGAGTGGGGACAACTTGGAGGGCTGCTTAGGCAACATCAAAAATAAGAAAATATATAGACAATCCTGAATGGTAACTAAGATGGGTCTGAGAGAAAGCACTGGACAGCGGCCACCTCACAGCCCTTCCTAGGGCCTCTGTTCTCTCTTATCTGAAGGACTTTCATATATGAGTGCCTGCTTAAATTGTTCTTTAAACATATAGTGGAAAACATGCAAAGTTTATGTCCCAAAACAAGGGTTCCTGATGCAGACTGGAGAAAGCACAATAGACACAGATTTTAGGTAGAATGTAAAGCAATGCCCACTGAGAAGCCTCATAATAGATATACTATAACTGATGATTAGAAATTTAAATACTCATTATTTCAAAAATCACTCAGTTGTACATGCAACAATTCGGCCCTCTAATTACATATTGGATATAATCTGGTGTTCACATAATCTATCATCCAAACAGAAAACCGTGGGTTACCAAACTGGCCCCCTAGAATACTCGTCCCACTGGCTACAGCTAGACTCGCCAGAGATCGTGCCTGCTTGTGGATGTTTTAATTTACAACAGCCTGCAGGGAGCCCCATGAAGGGCAGGAATGAGAACCAAAGGCAAGAAAGATTCTGTACCTTCATAAATTCAGCTTTGTGGCTCAGACACAGAAAAGCACACTCCCCCGCACTCCTGACTGACAAGACACAGGACAACAGGACAGAAGAGCAACAGGTGAACTTCACAAAAGGGGACCCCATCTCCAGGGAAGCTGCTTTCTACAACCCAGTCCAGTCCTTCTCTAACATCAGAAAAGTATTGCCCTTTGTGCCTGAATTTCATTTTTAAGATTATGACAGCAGTTTCCTTGAATTCTTGAAATGAGCCCAGGCATGATTAGAACTCTACTCGTGCACCAAACTTCTGCAGTTGGCATAACACCATTGGCCCTCAAGACAGATCTACCGCCCAAGAGAGCACATGCTGTCGTCCCAATGATATGCTGAGTTCCTTGAAGACAGGGAGTATACCCTGACCAGCACCTGCTCCCTTCTGATCCGAGAATGATATGTGCCCCAGGTAGCAATTAAATACTAGTTCTCATCACATCCCTAGAAATGTTGATTTGCCCAGCTTCCCCGGTGCTCCTGTGATGCTTCCTGTGACTCCCAGGAGCTGTGGTGTATCAGGCCATGGAAGGAGTGTGTATGGGAAGGCAGGCAAGAGACGAGAGTGCGTCAGGGCCCTGAGCACTGCCCTTGGAGCTCTGCCTCCTTCAGGGGGTAGCCTTGCAGGTGCCCCAAGTGCCAGGTGGGATTCAGAATCTGTAAGAAGCCAGGTTCAGCACCCATCAGCCCTGTGCCGTGCCCAGCATTGGTACACATGCTCAGAGACGCACCAAGCTGAGTGTGCCTAAGGTGCACACGCTCCTCCATCTTCTTGGGCCTGAAGAATATTACATTGGGCTTTTCAGAAAGTAGCATTTAGAAATGCAAGAATTTTTGTGTTATCTTTTATCTTCAAGACACTGTTCCAAGGACTCCTAGGGAGAAGAAAGGAGTGGCTGAGGCTCTGGCTTTGTTTTATTTCTTAAATTGGAGTTTTATATAAACTTATATTTGAACTGAAGTTTTATTTCCACAAAAATCACTAATTGTTTTTCTATTCTATTAACTACAATTAATGTTTAATGCATTCTCCATGCCAGGTGGAAATACAAACTGGTGTTCTCTCAAGGTGTTACAGGCTAATGAGATAAGAACATGGATAAATTCAGATCATCACAGTCTCGGGCAGATACGGAGAGGCCATGCTTTAAACTCTCGCAATCTAGAGCCTTCCCCCACTCGCTGAGGGGTGATAAGCAAATATCCAAGCCCATTGTCTTTTGTTGTCTGGGAACTGACCTTTGGTCTCTGCTGCATAATACTGGGTTTCATGAAGTTCCCAGGGTGCAGCAGGGGCAGCAGAAACAGTGGGACGCTGTTTGGTGTCTTGCCCCACCAGACAGGACCCAGTCTTTTTGCCTTATTTAGAAATAGACTTGTTTTATTATGACACGGGCCGTTTGTTAGCACAGAGAGAGACAGAGAGGCTCACAATGTTTGAGTCCCTTATCTCGCATTGTTTATGTTCTTAAAATAATTTAATTAGCTTCATAAACAAAAGCATCTTTAATTCATAAACAAAGAGAACTCAGAAAAATCAAATGTTCCAAAAGGCAAAAAAGAAAAGAAAGAGAGAGAAAAGTCAAATAATTCAAAGATGTTCTCTCACTCTGCTTTGCACAGGCTTGCAAGCATCATCCCTGAGAGCCACTGGAACTTCTAAGACACGTTCATGTTCTCATGTTGCTAAGATTTGGGTAGGTCATGGAAGCCTTTTATAAGTCTCACTGTTTTCAACTGTCTCTGAATACCATGTCTCTGTCTATCTTCTTGAATGACTCCCTAAAGAGTTAGAATGGAGCCCTGGCCAGTGTGACTCTGTTGGTTGAGTGTCATTCCATGCACGAAAGGTCGCAGGTTCAGTTCTGGTCAGGGCACATGCCTGGGTCAGGGGGAGGGGGTGTGTGCAGGATGGATGTTTATGAGGGACAGTGTTTCTCACATCAATGTTTCTCTCTCTCCCCTCTCCCTTCCTCTCTCTCTAAAATCATAAAACACACACACACACATAAAGTTACAATGGAAAGAACCAAATATAGGGCTTATAATTTACAAGCACTTTTAAATACATGGATTGATTCAGTTTTTAAAGCAGAAAATATTTAAGACTCTAAGGCTAACAGAAGATTTATAAAAGAGCAAAAAGAATGAAGGGTTGCATGACTGAGTTTATATTATCAGTACAAATTGATTGTATCATCTTAATCCTTGACTGTATCTTATTAACATTTCTGACCTTTTATTATTATAAACTCTTTAACCCATAAGTGACTAGGGATGGTCTCAAAATATTTACATTCATTCTCTTGACAGTGCACTGTAATCTCTATACTTCAATTTATGCAATGTGCATGTACTTCCTAAATGCAGTTCACAAGCTATGGGTATAAATATAAGTCAATGGACAAAAGTGATAGCTACAAGTAGTGCATTTTACAAAATTAATGTTAGCTAACTTGGTTTAAGCATTAATTATATGCCAGTCTAATCTGAGAACTTTATGTGGATTATCTCTTAATCCTTCATAAACCCATGAGGTAGATACAATTGTTCCTTCTATTTTACAAATGAAAAAACTGAAATTTAAAGTTTGCCCAAAGAACATAGCTAGAAAGTGGTGGAACCAGCCTTAAAACCCAGCCTCTCTTATTTCAGAAGCTCACCACGAATACCCACACTCTCCTGTGAGTTGGTGAAGAGTTATCATGGACATCTGATGGGTTATATTGTTCTTATTACAATGATTATTAGAAAATCCAGATGGCTTGCCACTGTTTTTGACATGTCTCAAATTTTGTCGGATAAACATCCCTCACTCATATTAGTCACAGTTCAATCAGATAAACAGAATCACTAGGATGTAATACATGTATGTATGTATGTGTGTAAATATTCATACCTTTGCCACAGGATTCTTACCTTACAAAGTTGTGAGAGCTGACCAGGGCAGGAAGTGGAGAAGCAAGGGTGAGCTGGAATCCATAAGGAAAGACTGAAATGCATGTCAATTCTTGCCGTCTCTAATTTTGATGGGTATCCTGCAGGACAAACTGGTGCCTTTCATCACAAAGCTGGCCCAGGACTCAGAGAAGCTGAAGAATGCTGGGAAAGGAGGAGCAGCTACAAGTCCGGCTGCTTCCCCACCGACAAGATGAGCCAGGAAATCAGCAACAACATGTGAGCTACATCATAGTTGCTCCTTCACTTCCATCCTCCAAATCTCTCATAAGAGTCTCTCCTGAAGCACACCCTAACCTGAAACATGCAAGGTAGGGAATTCTGGGAAATGTAGTTTAGTCTAGGCAAGTGACACTTTACAAAGCCACCATATACCTTACTCTCTTTTTTTGTTACTGTTTTGCATTAGAGGATTTGCAAAGTTCTATGTAGAAAGAATAATCACAGACAATGCAGAAGACACCTCTACCACACAGTGAGCACCCTGACATGTCAACAGACCCCAAAGCATCTCCTTTGTGTGGGCACTGTGCACCCAAGCTGCAAAGATGGGTGGAGCCTGGTTCCTGCCTCAAAGAGGCTAACCATCTAGGAGTATGACAGAAAAGAGAAACATAAACAGATAATGTTAATGCAATTATTATAACAAGTATAATAATAAGTGCACTCAAGGGTGCAATAGGAGCCCACAGAAGTGGCTCAACCAGCCCTGGCCAGATAGCTCATTTGGTTAGAACATTTTCCCAATATGCCAAGGTTGTGGGTTTGATCTCCAGTCAGAGTACATACAAGAAGCAACCAATAAATGCATAAATAAGTGGGACAACAAATTGTTGTTTCTCTCTCCCTTCCCTTCGCCTTTCCTCTCTCTCTCTCAAATAAATTTTTAGAAAAGAAGAAGAAGAAATGGTTCACTCTACCTAAGCTGCTATTTCAAGTGAGCTGAACTTCCTGGAGGATATAGTGTCTAAACAGTCTTAAACAATGAAGTAGGGGTTGGCTAAGTGAAGAAGTATAAATAGGGATTTTAAGGTATTTTGGAAGAGAGAATAACCATTAAGATTTATGGCAGAGGGAGGATGGAGAGATTTATAAGCAATAACTGTGGGAGGCCGGAATGAACGCAAAAGGTGCTGGAGAAGTAGGTGCTGGCAAACTCTGGAAAGTCTATGCATTGTATTCTAGGGAGCTTGGACTTTATCTCCTAGTAACTGGGGAGCAGTGAAAGAGTTAAACACAAGAAAATGATATGGTCATTGAGGTAAATAGTCTCCATGATAATGACCTCAGGCTTCCCTCCCTGTACATGTGTACTGCTCATCACATTACAAGGTAGGGTCTAATTCCCCTTCCCTTGAGTCCTGAGCTGGCCAGGCAACTGCTTGACTAAGACAAGGTAAGAGAAGGAACATTCCAAGGGGAGGTCTTAAGAAGTCTTACAGCTTCAGTCTAGGCTCTTGGGACACTCACTCTTGGGACATGACACCCCTTCTTAGAAGCAAACCCATGCTGTCAGAAGCCCAAACTACAGAGAGATGCCTCATGTAGGTGCTCCAGTCAATCACCCCAGCTGAACTCCCAGCTAAAAACCATTATGTGCGTGGCTATCATGAATGTCTAGCCAGGTCAAGCCTTTAGATGACTCCAGTCCTGGCCGCCATCTGAATGCAACTGCATGAGAGACCCCAGATGAGAATTTTCCCCATCAACTCTCCATTAGCGATGTGAGAGGAAAAGAGAGGAATGTCACAGACACAAATGAGTTGAAAGTTTTGAGTAAGAGTGGGGAGCTGGGGGAAACTAGGATATTTTAACTGAAATTGGCAATACTCAGGTTGCTGAAAACATAGATGGGGAATTTGGGATGATGTGATGGGAGGTTAGCAGAGCTACAGTGGGATATGAAGACTCATAGATTAGTGTTGTGACAAACTTTACTGGAACTAAAGGGATTGATGGTGGTGACCAGAGGACAGCAGCAGGGTGAAGGAAGTTTTTGTTTGGTTGTTGTTCTTGTGTGTTAAAGGAGGAGAGATGTGAGCACAAGATAAAAGAAGCTGGAAATAGAGAAAAGCAGAAAAGGCTTGGAGTGAAGACCCTTGACTGAGAAGGTGAGCCCTGCAGGGGGAGACCGAAAGCCCTGGCCGGGAGGGAAGCGTCTGAGATGCAGCTGGCTCCAGACCGGTTCCTTTTCTTAACTGGCAGGCTTGAGGGAGTGTAATTTAGAAACAGTGTTAGGAGAGGCATGATACTATGAAATTCGATGACTCCGTTGGAGAAGACTTTGCATATTATTAGGTGGTTATGCAAATATTTCCTTTTATGGGCTTAAATGCTGCCTCTGAGCATTTAGATTTACCCTCAGGAGATAAATGTGAGGATTGATGCAATAGTTACTACCTAGATAACCATGGTTTATAGAGTCTTGAAAATCTTCCACTCACCCAGGTTCCAGATTTGCCTCAGGGTAGCACATCACATGGTGGGACAGACCAGAGCAGCTCTGCCAAGGTTTTGAAAATGAAATTGAAATGTGGCACCACAGCCCACAAGGTGGACCAGGGCCTGCACTCTGAACCTGAATAGGTTGACTGTGAGCTGAAATAAAAAATTTAGGCAGGAACCAAAGTCATGTAACATAATACTCAAAATGTCTAGGAAACAATCCAAAATCTCAACACACTGAGAACCATGAAAATCTCAGCTTGAAACACAAAAGGCAATTGACAGACATTAGCATTGAGATGACACAGACATTAGCATTGGAATCATCAGATGAGAATTCTAAAGCATCTATGATACACAAATGTTTTCTTTTTAAAGCAATTAGGAATGCTTGAAACAAATGAAAAAAACAAAGTCCCAGCAAATAAATATAAAACACAACAAACAACCCAATGCAAATTCTGAAACTGTAAAATACAATAACCAAAAAATTTAAAAAATAACTGATGGGCTCAATAGCAGAAATTCATAAGAAAAGACAAACAACCCAGCAGAAAAATGGGCAAAGTATATCAATTTATAGAAAAGGAAATACAAGTAACTCTAGATATACAAAAAGATGTTTAATCTCACGCATAATAAAAAAAAATTAAAACTGTACTGATATACTCCTGTTCACCTGTCAGAATGCCCAAACCCCGAAATAGGACCACACAATGTAGTGAGTGCGGGAAAAGCTCTCAGAGGTTGCTTACTAGTATGTAGACCATTTTGGCCATATCTCTAAAATCCACATGCCATTTGGCTTTGTAATTATACTTTTGGAAATTTATTATATAGAAAACTCATAAAGGGGTGAAATGACATATTTGCAATGCTATTCATGGCTATAGTGTAGGTAACCATAAAAGACTAGAAACAATTTCATGTTCATTGATATAGGTTACTGGTTAAATTAATTCGTGTATGTCCACAGAAAGGAAAGTTATAAAGCTAAAAGAAAAAAGGAATAGAACTGCCGCTATAAATAGCTATCACTGAGTAAATAAAAGAAGAAACATAGTCTATATTTGCATGTGTTTGTAGATACATAAAGAAAGTCTGAAAGGATGAGTGGCAAGAAGTGGCTGCCTGTGGGGAAGGGTGGGGGCTGGGCAGCAGAGAGGAGGGAGTCTTGACAGTATGCCTAGGAACATGTTCTGGTTATTGGATCATATGAATGTATTGGAGAGCTAAACACAAACAAACACACAAAGAACAGAAAGTGTCCTTAATGCCCAACCTCAGGACTATATCGTAATGGTCCCTTTATGTCTGGATGAAATAAACCTATCCAGTATTAGCCAGGATACTGTTTCATCTCGGGCTGTGTTAGTCACCTGCCTTCCATGATCCCCCGGGGGAGCAGAGCCCTGAAGCACCAGGGACACTGATTAGGATGAAAGCATTTTGATTAGGAATGCTTTTTCTCGGTGGCCTGGGCTGCTGAGGGCTTGAGGCTTGTCTCCTTCCTCCTCCCAGACGACCTCCTCCGGTGCTTTCTCTTCATCACACAAGGTCCCCCTGCATGTTTGGGAAAGATTTCCTTTTTGGAAATGCCAGAAGGCTGATGATGACCATTCACCCAGCTCCCAGCGCTTCGGTTCTGTATTTGCAGTTTCCTCTGAAAACGGGGCAAAGCAAGTGAGCTCTTCCCCTTCCCTCTCATCTTCCAGGACTGGAAGCAAAACCTCCCAGCAAAACCTTTGAGCACCTGCCACGTGGAAGGGCTTTCTCCCCAGGCTCAGAAGTCCTGTCTCGGTTTTTGTCAGGGCCTCTGGGTACCCATCAAACGACGACGGTCCTTGAGGATGGGGGTCTCTCCTCAGACTCCTCCTGACCCTTAATAAACGACTGCAAACACCATCTCTTTCCATAAAGGGATCAAGTTGCTTTTCTGAAATCCCCGAGTCACTTTTTCTTCCTGTCAGAGCTGAGCCGCCTTTCTTATGGGGCCACATGTGGGCCAGGCACAGCTGCTCCCATCTATAACCTGGGCTGACACGCGCAGACAGCTGTGGAGGAGCATGCCTCCTTCCCCCTTTGTTAGACTGAGCTCTTGGTTTTTCAGCCCAACTATGGAATCCAGGTGATACTTTCCAATCGGCAAACAAAAGCCACAGGAATAAGGCAAAAAACACTAGCTCATGCAGAGCCCGGCTCCAGTCACTTAAAACAAAATCAATCTCACTTCTCCCCTTTCCCTCAGTGTTCTGAAATAATATTTGAAGTTCTGTTTGGTCTCTTTGGAGAACTGCCAATGGCTTCGAGGCATGTAGTGAAGTTATATATCAAGGCGCAATTACACTCGGGACTTTTGAAAAGTGATTCTCACTTAGGAATAATATATGATATGAATTTAATAATCTGCCATCTACTTCTCCTTTTTATTTCTCAAGGAAATTAGTGGGAAACTTACAGTAGCAAAATGAACCTATCCTCGGTGGAGGGGATTCATCAATAGTTTTTTAATTTTATAAACTATTATTGATCATGAGTTTTGAAAGGAACAAAATGCACGAGTTCTTAGATTTTCTGTTTGTGCTGTGAGCTACAGTAAATGTCTTCAAGAAATCTCTCTTCATTTGTTTGCTAAAAAATATAGATTTTAAAAATTCTTCTTACTCCATTGAAATTAATGGTTGAAATGTAGTCTGAGAAAGCACAACAAAAAACCCACGTGTCTGTTTCTTCATCCTCACCATGATTATGTAACTAATTATCAAGTTCAATGCATTCTCCTTTCCACAATTTAAATATGGGATCACACTTTTTAAAAATATTATCTTTCCTTCCCCTACACAGGTACCAACTTATGTGCAATGAATCGTGCAATCATTATACTGATACATCTGATATGATATTCATAAAATACAGAAAAACCCATGATCCTATTTGACCCACTCCTCTATAAACTAAGTGTGGCAGATGTCCTTCTAGATTTTTTTATACATATATATATAAATATACAAACATTTATACATAAATGCAGATATTGATATTATATGCAACTATAAATATGGAAATACATGGTTTAATTGTATGATTGTCTTTTGCATATATGGAATCATATTGTGCCCATTGTTTCACAACTTGATTTTTAAATTAATATGTTGATGATGTTTCCATATCAATACCTGTAAATGTACCTCACTCTTTGGAATTCTTTGACATACTCCATTGTATCCATACACCACACTTTATTAACTCTTCTCCTATACATTCAGATGATTTCCATTTTTCCTTATTACAAATAGTGCTTCAGTGGGTGTCCCTGTACAAACCTCCTGGTAGACATGAGTATTTCTCTATAGTCATACCTAGATGTTGAATCACTAGGTCAAATGATCTGCATTTTTTAATGTTAAAAGACACTGCTAAATAGTAATAATTGTAACTAAGTACTATGACTCAGGCTCCATAGTAACTCAAATTATCCTCATAATCTATAATATAGGTATTATCATTGCCCTTACTTAGAGTTGAGAAAACTGAGGCACAGAGAGGTCAAGTAACTTGTCCAAGGTCACAGAGCAAGTAATTGTGGATCTGGGATTCAAACCCAGGCATCTTGCTCCAGAATCTATGCTTTTAGCACAACACTAGGCTGACTCTTTCTAACATGCAACGGTATAGATATATTATGTTCATAACTATATACAAAAATAGAAGTTAAACGGAATGATATAAAGTAGTTAATATTTTATAATATTTATTAATCATCAAAAGCTTTTTCTTTCAATAAAACTATAATTAATAGTAATGTTTTATTGAGCATACAATGATTGACTATGTGTTGTTTTTTTTATTTAACTCTATACTTTATGATACAACCATTCAAAACTCTGGTTCTAAGTTCAGTTTGTCTGTCAGCTGAAAATGTTACTGCACACAGGTAGTCTCAATGGGAAGTAGTACATTCTTGGATATACTGACCAAATTATGTCATCTACCAGCCAATCACGGTCTTCCTAAAGTTTGACTGATAAATATCCATTTTCCCATACAGCAGTATGTGTTCACTATGAAGTAATCAGGACATGTTACAGTTTTTGTATTCTTAACAGGTTGGATCCAAATGTTGGTAGCTTCTCTCAGGATGACCACCATCAGTTCCTTCCCTCCGGGTGAATGTGAGTCATCTCCCTACTGACAGGAGTTGTTCTTCCGTTCCCTTGAATCTTGGCTGGTTTAACTTCTTGGTCAAAGTGAAGCTGCCTGACTTCTAAGATTTGATCATAAGAAGCCTTTTGGCTTTTGTCTGCTTCTCTCAGAACACTGGCTCTCGGGAAAAACAGCGCCACACATTACGTTCTACTTCCCAGGATTGTCATGCGGTGAGGAAGCCCAACTATTCCACCTGGAGAGAGAAGGAAAGAGATGCCTGGCCGGCGCCCAAATGCTCCAGCCAGCCTAGCCCAGACACCAACGTGGGAATGAAGAAATCTTCAGGCGGCTTCAGCCTCACTCACCAGGTGACTGCGGCTGCATGAGGGACCCCCAAGTGAAAACCACTTAGTTGAGTCTTCCTACCGTAGAACTGTAAGAGATAATATGAAATTATTTTAAGCCACTTAATTTTAATTTGGAGTGGTTTGTTATGTAGACATCTAGAGCAGAATTTTACTAAAACATTTGAAAGACTTTTCAACAGGTGAGAATATTTTCCCCCACTTTTTAATTTAAGTGTACAAATACACTATCTTTTATGGGCATATTTATAAACTTTTTAAAGACATGTTGATAGGAAATATTTTCAAGCATCCAGTCCCAAAATGTTCTTTCTGTGACATAAGTTCCTATTTAAAAAGTATCTGTAATCATTTATTGTTTAAAATGTCACTTTTTGCCCTGGCCAATTTGGCTCAGTGGTTAGAGCGTCGGCCTGCGGTCCGGAGAGACCGGGGTTCGGTTCCTGCTAAGGGCATGTACCTCGGTTGCAGTTTGTCCCCGGCCCTGGTTGGGTAGTGCAGGTGGCAGCCACTTGATGTGTCCCTTTCACGTCGATGTTTCTCTCTTTCTCTCTCTCTCTCTTTCTCTCTCTCTCTCTCTCCCCCCCTCCCACTCAATCTGAACAAAAAAATGGAAAAATGTCCTCTGATGAGGATTAAAAAAAAATGTCACTTTTCCTAATAGGAGCATATTAAGTACAATTTTCCCAAAAAATATCTGCTAAGCAGCACACTGTTAATAATGGTCATCATCATAGTAAAAGTCCATTTATGTTTTACTTTTTATTATAAAGTAGTTGTGAGAACAGTACAAAGGACTCCTGTATAGTCTTCACATAGATTCCCCGACATTTACTTTACACGTTTGCTTTATCAGTCTCTCTCCATACATAGACATCATTCTTTGATGAACTGTCTGAGAATAAGGTGCAGATATGCTGCTTCCTTTCATCTGAATATTTCAGAGCACACCTATTTCCTATGAATGAGCACATTCTTACAAATTGGAGTGCAATGATCAAAACCAGGCACTTCATACTGAGAAAACACTGTTATCTAAGCTACAGATTTTATTCAGATTTCACTAGTTATTCCAATAATGTTCTTTTTAGCAAGAATAAAAAATAAAAATAAAAATCCCCTTCAGTATCTCATCCAGAATTACACCTACCATTACTTGACATGCCTCTTTTGTCTTCATTTGGGGCATTTCCCCTTTCTCCCCCATGACCTTGATATATTTTAAAAGTTTAAATAATTTGGAATTGTTTCCTGGTCATTTATGCTTTTTTTGTGTGTGTGCATTAGTGATTCTGTTTCCTCTTCAATGTGTCTTATCAAGAGGTATACTTCATTCAACAATAGCAGAATACATAGTCTTTCCAAGTGCACACATAACATTAACCACATATTCTAAACCATAAAACAAATCAGAAATGTTAAAGTGATTCAAGTCAAACTAGTACGTTCTCTGATGGCAATAAAATCAAATTAGAAATCTAAACCAGAATGATAAGTGAAAAAATTTCCCGAATATTTGGAAACTAAATAAAACATTGCTAAATAACTCATGGATCAAGGAAGAAATCAAAAGGGAAATTGAAAAATATTTTTAATCTAATGAAATTGAAAACAAAACATACCAAAAATTTAACTTATGAGGCTAAAGCAGTACTTAGAAGAAAGCTTATAGTCTACATTAGTAAAAAAGAAAAGTCTCCAGGTACTGGAAATATCAGGGGAATCACTTTGTAAAATATATGATTGTCTAACCACTATGCTGTTTTATACAAAATAATATTGAATGTAAAGAATATATAAACTTTTGATTAACTGAATAAAAAAGAAGAAAATTCTCAAATAATTACCTTAACTTTCATTTTAAGAAACTAGAAAAAACAAGAACATAGGAGACCTGAAGTAAGCAACAGACAGGATATCAAAATCAGACAAAACCATTACAAGGAAAAAAAAAAACAACAACAACACACGAAACCTGCAGACCAATAACCCTCATAAACAGAGATGCAAATAACAATATTTAAAAATAGATAATGCATTATGTCCAAATAGG